CCTGCCCGGTCCCACCACAGACTTCCCTAGTTGTTCCCAACATGGCATCCCTGGTCAGTACCACCACAGGGTTCCCTGGTCAGTCCCACCATGGCATCCCTGGCCGGTCCCACCACGAGGTTCCCTGGCCGGTCCCACCACGAGGTTCCCTGGCCGGTCCCACCAAAGGGGTTCCCTGGTCGGTCCCACCACGAGGTTTCCTGGTCGGTCCCACCACAGAGTTCTCTAGTCGGTCCCACCATGGCATCCCTGGTCAGTCCCACCACAGGGTTCCCTGGTCAGTCCCACCATGGCATCCCTGATTGGTCCCACCACGGGGTTCCCTGGCCAGTCCCACCACGAGGTTCCCTGGTCGGTCCCACCACAGAGTTCTCTAGTCGGTCCCACCATGGCGTTCCTCGCCAGTCCCACCACAGGGGTTCCCTGGTCAGTCCCACCATGGGGTTCCCTGGCCGGTCCCACCACGGCATCCCTGGTTGGTCTCAGTCCTGCCATGGGGGTTCCTTGGTCAGTCCCGCCATAAGGTCCTAGTTGATCCCACCACAGGATCCCTGCTCAGTTCCTCATCGTCATCAAAGCTCTCTCAGCATCTGTAATCAGATATTCCGAGTCCTGCTACCAAGTCCATCAGACGTGTTATCACCCAACCAGCAATTAGCAAGACTCCAGAACCCTTCGCCCCGCGCCGTGGCCGGTCCACCGGCTCAGTCCTCAGCATCTCGGTGTGCCTGAGCTCCAGCTCACATCCCCCCTGCGTCGGGAGGGTCAAGCCTTGCTTTCCTGGAAGTGCAAATTGGGCATAAGCTCCTATGGAGCATCTTTTCATCTCCTGCTGGGGTGTCCTGGTCCAGACAGAGCTTTGCAAATGGGAGATTTTAGGCTGGGAAGGTCCAATATGGCTGGAGAAGGGAAGGAGAAGGGAAGGAGAAGGGAAATCAAACTCTCTCTGGAGAGCCAGAGTGGGAAAACCAGCGCTCCCAGTTCTGCCCTTCGCTAGGATTTAAGACCGGTGTCCTCACCAACAACTGGGTGGACGACAGCGCCGGGCGGCTCTTCACGGCCACGCTGATGAACCTGCTGCATCGCCACTTCGACCTGGTGATCGAGTCCTGCCGGCTCGGAGCGCAGAAGCCGGACCCCAAGATCTACACCTACGCCCTGGATGCGCTGCAGATGAAGCCACAGGAGGTACGGCCACCACCCCAAAAAATGGGGCACGGAGGGTCCCTCCAAGCACCCAAAGTCCTTGGCCAAACCCAGTGGCCGCCCTTCCCCGGGGTGCAGAGCCCAGCTGTCACTGGTGTATCTCCAGGTCATCCTCCTGGACGACATCGGGGAGAACTTGAAGCCGGCCAGGGAGATGGGCATGGCCACCATCCTCGTCAAGGACACCGAAACCGTCCTGAAGGAGCTGGAGGAGCTCTCGGGCGTCCGGGCATGTAGAGGCGGTCTGGGTCCTCTCTGTCTCCTGGAGGTCCCTGAAGGGGTGGGAGGGATGGGCTCAGGCTTCTGGGTCTCGTTGTGATGCGGTGCTGGTGCAGGACTCGGGGGTGGCTTTGGACCTCCTGCAAACCCTTCCCACCCCCTGATAACCTCATCCCCTGGACCTGCTGAGCCGTGTCCATCTCAAACGCATGGATGTCCCACCAGCAGCAGGGTGGTGGGGACGTCCCACGGAGCTCCAGGCTTGCTCAGGAGCTCACCCTGTGCTCCTCACCCCGCAGCTTCTCACCCAAGAAGAGCCGCTGCCAACTGCGTGTGATCCATCTGACGTGACCCATGGATACGTGCCCATCCGGGTAGAGTAGAGGGGACTGCCTCGGTGACGAGGTGTCCCCGGGCTTGGCAGGGCTTGAGGGTGGCCCACACGTCCTGGGGAGGGTGTTTGAGCCCTGTGGAAGGATGTGCCAGCCAAGGGGTGGCTTGTTGGGTTGTCCACCTTCCTGCGTGGGCTACTCTGGGTGGGGGGATGCTGAGCTACCCCATCATTGGGGTCTTCTCCATCCACCCCAGGGGTTAAAACACGCTGGTGTGGCACTGGGATGCTGGGCTGGAGTGGGTGGTGGGCTCCCACGCCTGGTGACCGGTGGTGGGTGGAGGGTTGGGAGGTGAAGCCGTGCCACCTGCAGCTGGTGAGGACTCTCCGTCCTTTCCAGCCCGGCGTCCAGTTACACTTCGTGGAGATGGGACACGGCCCCGTCATCTGCCTCTGCCACGGCTTCCCCGAGTCCTGGCTCTCCTGGCGCTACCAGGTGATGGAGGAGATGGGGAGGAGGGTGGACCACGGCGGCTGGCGGTGGGATGCTGGAGCAGAGCAGAGGGGGTGCATGGCCACCACTCCTGGGGCATCCTGGGGCTGTCCCACCACCCTGCCTCGAGCCTTGAGGGACACGGGACACTGCCCAGGAGTGTTGCCCACCCTCCAGTCTCACCAGCTCGCGTCTGCCCTCTTGGGGACATCTCCGGGCGCGCTTGGGTGGGCAGAGGCAGGATGGGGGCTGGCACCAGAGGAGAGCGGGATCCCGGCATCTCCGCATCCTTTGGAGGCCGCTGCTTTCCCTCCTAGATCCCAGCTCTGGCCGACGCCGGCTTCAGGGTGATCGCTCTGGAGATGAAGGGCTACGGGGAGTCCACGGCCCCACCAGGTGAGCTGGGCTTGGCGGGGTTTAGGGGGGATGGGGACCTTTTTGGGGTGGGTGCGGCCGGTCCCGAGGACAAGACCCAGGAGGAGATGGGTGGAAGAGTCTTCTGGGGGGGGTGTGGGTGGGTGTGGGAGCTGTCCCGCTCCTCCTGCAGCTCCCATGGATGCAGAATGCATCCGTAGAAACGCGTGGATGTTAAAATGATGGCGGTTCTGTCTTCCCTGCAGACATCAAAGAATATTCCCAGGAGCAGATATGCAAGGTGAGGAGGTGCGGGACACGGATGTGGGCAGGAGGACATGGCCCCGGGTAGGATTTGACCTTTTCTCTCCTCCTTTCTTCAGGACCTGGTGGTTTTCCTGGACAAACTGGTGAGGAGCCCCCTACCATGGGTCTCTCCTTCTTGGCAAGGTTGGGGTGCGCATCCCCCCGACTGCTCTTTACCTCTTCCTTCCCACGCAGGGACATCTCAGCTCCCTGGTGACTTTGGTCCAAAACCCTCGGGGTAGCACCAAACCCCATCATTGTGTTCCCCGTGGGTGGGATTTTAGGGATGGGGATGTTCGTACAACCCTTTGCCAGTGGGGACAACCCATCCTTGGGAGGGTCTCCAGCACCGTGTCACCTTCTCCTGGACCTCGTGTCCTTGCTGAGGACGGGGAGACGGGCTGGTGGTGCCTATTTGGGGTTTTGGGAAGGTGGTGAGATGCTCATGGAGAAGGACTCTGGGCTGCATCCCCTTAAACCCCGACTGCCGGAGCTGTGGTGGCCACGGGACCAACGCTGTCCCTGGGCACGGCTGGAAGCCGGTGTCACCTTGGCGTCCGATCCGTGTGGGTTGGGGGGACTCTGGGTTTAATCCCCATCCCGTCGAGGGGGTGGGGTTGATTTCTGTGCCTTTTAAAGGAGGTGACGTGGAGGGGAAGAGCGCAACCCACAAATGCCAACATCTGTAGGGCTTTTTTCCTCCCGAAACGGCTTCCAAGGGAGCGAGTCCTTTGGGAAGCAGTGCTAAAAAAAAAAAACCAACCCAAAAACCCTAAATAACTCAAGAAACAAAGGAAGGGGTGAGGGGAAAGCCCTCGAGGTTTGGGAGGTTTTGCAAGGGCTCGGCGTGCGAGGAGCGGCGGTTTGTGGCGGCGTGGGAGCAGGGACGGGGTTTGGGGTGGGCATCGTGGGGGCTGCAGCTCCGCTTTGGCGCTGAGCAGGCGGGGATAAATCACTGGGATTTTTAAATTATTTGGGGGGGGGGGGGTTCTTTGG